TACGTTCAGAAAAAAGTTTGTGGTATTTACAAATCATACCCAGATAGCAATCGTGCGTCGCACGTTTCTCGCACTGGTGACAGCATTTTGCGTGCAATACAGCGGTCACCTGTAATGCAGTCACTGGTGCGAGTAATATGAGTTGCACACAGGCATCACCGCATGCTTGTCGCACACTATGTCGCATGGTGCGTATTATACACATGGCAGTCACCGGTGATGCATCTATAAGTGCAAGTGATATGAGTCGCATTATAAAGATAAAATGTTTTTGAATATATAGGTATCACTTAAAATTTTTTACATAATTATTTAAATTTTTTTTATAAAAATTATAAAATATTAAATTTTTTTTTAATGTGCAATAATTGTTTATTTCATACTTATTAGTAATTAATATAATGTAATTATATTATATTATTAAATATTTTTTAAAAATTGATCCTTTTCCACACAAAAAAAAAAATTTTAAGATATAAATATATTTGTGTATTATAATTGTTGTTTCCTAAATCATTATTTTAATAGGCGATTTTAATTTTTGAGGTATAAAATTTGTTTTAGAAACCGGAAAAGTAACAATTTTTCACAATTGTTTAAAATTGATTTTGCGAAAAAATTTAATGAATCGTTGTAATTTAACATCTTATTCATCGATCAGACAAAAAAAGATTTTCGTAAAAAACTCTAATAATTCTTTTAAATTATTTTTAAAAGACGTACCAAGCAAATTTTTTTTTTTACTAATATTATTAAAAGTAATTTAATAATATTAAAGTATTATTAATTATTAAATATTTATTATTATTCTTATTGTGAATATATTGTAACTATCGTTTTATATTTTAATTAATACTCTCTAAATCTGAATCAGTCATATTTCACTGATTAGCAGTAGAAATCTACTAATTGCCATAGCGAGAATTGAGCAACTGATAATTAGTAGAAATTTACTGATTCAATTAGTAAAATATCAATTACTGATTAAATCAGTAATATAAATATATGGCGGCGGCCGCAAAATCTACTGATTTAATAGTTAATTTTAAAGGTTATGTTATATATACAAATTACTGTTTTACATAAGTTATTTTCTATTGCTTGTATATTCACTAATTATATTAATAAATTTCAAAAAATAAACTGAAACATCAGTTAAAATGAAAAGTACTGATTGAATTTAGTAAAATTTCTACTGATTTAGATTTAGAGAGTATCTTATAATTATTTCAAATTGATTTCATATAATAAATATGTATTAATAATTGCAAGTGTCAGTAGTCACATTTTAAGGGGAGGGTATACCCATATATTTTTAACTATACCAAGAAAATAATAATTTAAATATTTCATTAATTTGTTTTTATATTAATTTTTTTTGAGAAGAATTGAATAGTAGCAAAATAAAATCAGTCAGAAAATATTTTAACACTTTTTGAATTTTTATTTTTCATAAAAACAAAAATGGTAGATTTAAAAATTCATCCGTAATTCTGTAAAAAATATTTTTGTATTCACAAACAAATTGCTGAATGAAAAAAATTGATTTTTATAGATTTCTTGACATTTGTCTTAATTATTTTATTTAATTAAATTAGCATTATAATTTTCCGATCATCCTGTGGTGCGAATCATGCGACTATCACGACGTGTGAGTCATATGCGACTCATATAAAGACGCATCTGTGTGGTCCAGTGATAGCTCGTGGTGTGGATTATTCCGCACTCATGCGAGCACTGTGTCTGGCACTGTGCGCACATTTTGCTATCTGGGCACAGTTTGGATTTTCAACAACAATGCTTTATAACATAACCTTAAGTTTCTAATTAAATACTATATATATATACCTATATTACTTTTATTTTAAAAATTTTTATTATTATTAATTATACATTTGGACACGTTTTATTTTTTTTGGTAATGTAATACATAAATTTGATGTGAAAAATTCATTTTATTTCTCAAAACGTAAAACAAAAATTAATTGTGTAAAATTTTCTTATATAATTTATCATATTTTAATAAAATTAATTTTACATTTCCCAATTTTATATTAATAATAATTAATATAACCCCCACAGCACCGAAACTTTCCTAAAGATTTATTTGAAATGTTCGGAATATTTAATTGCAATGTTTAGTGAAAATTGTGTAAAGATTTAAATGTCCCACTTGAATAAATGTTTAGCGCAAAGCATTCCTGAACATTTAAATCATTACACAATTTTCACTAAAAATGCAATTAAATATTCCAAACATTTCAAATAAATTTTTAGGAAATCTTTAGGAAAGTTTCGTTGCTGTGGGAGAATATATAATTATTTACATTTTATGAAAGAAGATAAATTTTCCATATTACTTTTCAACAAAAATCTATATTATTTCGCACGCGCTCTGCCGTTAGTTTTTAGTACCGCTAAACACTGTATCTTCACGTTACTTATAAAAATAGTAAGGAGTGTTTAGTGGTACCAAAAACTTACGACAGAGCGCAGTTTGTGAAAATCCAAACATTTATACAGAATAAATTTTGCTGTGTGGACGGTTTTTTTTTCTCACTGTAATGGTAATTAAATAAATATAGTTACTTATTTCAAAATATAACTTATCCAATTTAATGATATTTTTATTTTTATATAAAGGTACAAAATCTTTTGAACTTTAAGACATTTCATTTCGTCGTCTACATTAAAAGTGAATGTAAAGGTAAAAAACTGTTATAAACATAACCTATAATTCGTTTGTTTCTAAGATTCCTTTCATCGTGACGCGTCACATTTTATTTTGGTTGTCATTTCCATCACTAGAAGTAATCTTTATTTTGCACAAAAATTTGTCCATTTTACAATATTATAAAATAAGTCTGCACAAAAAATACGATTTTCGAATTTAAAACAATATTTCACTAAATATATACTAAAATAGTTGACGCAAAAATAATTGCAATTAATTATTATATAATTAATTAGAAAACAAAATTATTTCTTACATATAGGTATTACAATATGCTTTTGTTGTTTATTTGTCATTTTATTTATTTATTTATCTACACTGAGAAAAAAAATTTAGTGTTTGCAACAAAATTGTTTGGTGTGGCAATTTTGGTTCTTGTAACCAAATTTTGGTTGGATGAAACAAAGTCGTAGAGTTATCTCAATCAAACATTTAGTTAGGCCAACAAAATTATTTGGTTAAACATTTTTAAATTCCAGCCAAAATTTGGTTACGACAACAAAATAATTTGGTTAACACAACATAATAGTTTGGTCTAGAAAACCAAATGATCGTTTGTTATCCTAACCAAAATTTGGTTGCGACAACCAAATAATTTGATTCGCTCTCAGCTTATGGATTAAGAGGATAGTTAGTTTAAATTTCTCACAAGGATGGGTAGTCCAGTGATTAGAGCTCCCGACCTTCAGTTTTAAAACAGAGGTTCGATCCCAGGCGGAGATGAGATTTTTTAAAGTCCACAAATATTTCAATTGAATAAATATAAATTCAATGTTAAATTGATAATAAATAAATAAATAATGAAATAAATAAAAAAAGATAAAAAGAAATGAGATAAGGTAGGATAAAATTTTTAATTTTACAAAAAAAATTGTTGGTTTGATCAACCCAACATTTTTGTTGGCCTAACAAAAAAAATTTGGTTGAACTAACCAAACATTTTTGGTATGCCAACAAAAAACACTCAACCAAATTTTTTGGTTGACTCAAACAAATAGTTTGGTTGCTTAAATACCATAACAAAATTTTTTTATTGGCCCAACCAAATTTTGGTTGCTCTGACTAAACATTTTTCTCAGTGTACATACATATTTATCTGCCTTTTTAATTAACTTATTTATTTATCTATTTATTTACCTATTTTTTATGTATTTAAATATTTTTTACATAAATAAATATATAGAGAAATAAATAATTTTTCTATCTATTTATCATTTTATTTATTCGTTTATCAACTAATTTATTTAAAAAAATATGTTTACATTAATTTTGACAATTACTGTTTCTGCAAAACAATAATAAATTTTTTTTTTTTTTTAACTAATTGACAATTATAATACAAATTGAAAAAGTTAATTATTTTTTGAAAAATGAATAATATTGTTTCGTGGAAAGGGAAGGAAAAATACATACTTGATTCGTTTTGTACAATTTTAATTGGCGCCGCTTGCTATATGTATATATACATAATGATTGTTCTGTACACTTTGTATGAGAAAAAAAAAAAAAGATTTTTTTTTTATCATTTTTACAAAAGAGATTTGTAAACATTGTGTGCGAAATGTGTTCTCTTGTTGCCTAATTAATGTTTTTTTTTACACATGAAAATCGCACAGATAAGTTCCATGCAAGATTACGTCCATTATTAAACGTCGTCGAGGACGTCGTGTATAAACAATATTCGAAGGTAGTCCAGCTTCCTTTTTTGTTTCAAAGACTAATCACATGTTTCACAATTATACATTATATTTTTATATAAATAATATACATATAGCACAATTGTATATGTATATTCAAACTTTTTTTATATTATTACATAAAAACCCAAATTTTTATTAATTAACAAAATTTTGTTCAAAAAAAAAAAATTTGAATTTTTTAAATTTTCTCTTTTATGAATTTTTTTCTGATAAAAACACTTTCAAATTGTGAATATTTTGAAACTTGTGATTGATACAAATAATGTTTTCTCAGTGATTTTTTTTTTTAAATAAGTGATGATATTGTTTTTTGTAGTGAAGAAAAAAATCAAGTGTGTGATTTTTTTAATTTACGAGTATAAATGAAGTGATGAAGAGGAAAAAAAAATTTATTTTAGAGAATCGAGTAATTTACAATTAATAATTATAAATAATAATTCAATGGTATGTGAATGAAAATTTTTGAATGTATACAATTTATATTTTGACAAATGGATTGCATAATATAAAAAAAATGATTATCAAGAGTAATTTTTGCCAATTATAGATAATTTTATTTATTGCAGATAATTCACATGTTAAGACTGGACACCAGAGAGTAAATTTAAATTGTAAGATTAGTATTATATTATTACGTATTATATTTTGTGCAATTGCGATAAAAAAAAAAAAAAAAAAAATACGATAACATTTCGTATATTTTGGGGGAGAAAAAAAACGTCGAAGCTATGTCTTATATCTTGCATATTATATTATATATATTATAACTTTTACAGTTAGAAAATATGTATAACAATATTATAAATATATTGTATACTTATCTCTTCTGTACCAGTTGTCATAGATATTTTGTTGTATGAACAAAAGAATGCGGAATATGTACAAGTATATATATATATATATATATATATATGTATATATAAATACATATATTGAATATATTATATGTTTAAAATAATTTGTCTTTTTCTAACAATTTCAAAAAAAAAAAAGATTGCCGTTAATGTTTACATTTTTTTTTTTTACTTTCTCTTATCGAAATCGCAATACGTTTATAATAAGTGATATGCAAACACTTTAGAACAGCAAGTCATTCCATTAATCTATGAATCAAAGTGACATATATATCTCTTTGCTTCATTTCTTCCTTTTCATTTGAAGCGCACTGTGGAAGTTTATTTTTATTTTATTTTGCATTCTTGCATTTTTTTCTTTTTTGAGAAAAGAAATTTTAATTGTGAAATTTTTGTTTTAAAAATTTTACGGATTATGTTCTAAAAATCATTAGTTAAAATTTTCATTTTATGGAATTTCATTTGTCATAATTATTTTTGAGCTGAATTTTTATTTTTTCGAATTTAGTATTTTGCAGAATTTTCATCAAACCGATTTTCTATATTACAGAATTTTTATATAACCAAAAATTCACTTCACAGAAGTTTTATTTGTTCGAATTTTTATTTGCTCGAATTGTCATTTAACATAATAGGCATTTTAAAAAATTTTTATTGGGTAGAATTTCATTGCATAGAATTTTCTTTTAGATGAATTTTCATTTGTTCGAATTATTATTCGCTATAATTTCCATATAAACCGATAATTAAAATTTTAATAAAATTCTTTTCATTTCGTGATCTTGATAACTTCAAAATCATTCCTGCAAAGTATTATAATTTTTAAAATTTAGTCAGCGACGACTTCATTCGAAATATAATGGATTGACCCCTATATAACCTTAAAATAACATTATACAATTTCTTTTGAAATCTACAAATAGTTTAACGGTTACAGTGACCGACACTCTATAGGTATACTTTCAATTTTAAATGCCATTTTATCGAAATTTAATAAAGATTTAGTTATTAAATAAATTTCAAATAAAATATTTGGGTCTAAATTTTCAATAGATACAGGCCTCGGATTATACGACTTTTTCTGACTTTTTTTTCGAAAATACAACTTTTTTTAAATAAGATGTGACTTTATCTACATTTCTTTTACAAAATTTTCAAACAAAATACGCCTTTTTTAGTTTATAATGCCGATATTCTTCATATCTTTTTTATTTAAATTATTTAACAATAAATTTTTAACTAAAATTTTTCTCTAAATTAATTATTATTAATAATTTAAAAAAAATTCTTCACAAATTCAATTACCTATCTCACATTATTTTTCAATTAAAAATTTTATGAAATTCAACAATATTATTTACAATTTAAAAAAAAAATTAAGTAAAATTACAAAAAATTTCAATTTAAAACCTTTTAAAATTTATTTATTTTTTAAATTTTCCATCTAAAACTTTTTAAATTTAATAATTTTAATTTTAACTCTTCTGAAATCCAATTATTTTTATTGATTTTTATAATATTCTTCGAAAATTTAATTATCTGAAAGAATTTTTAAATAAAAAAAATTTTTAAGTTCAATTTTTTTCTTAAATTTTTAATACTAAATTTTTCAGCAACAGAAATCACCAAAAAATTTCAATTAAAAATCACTTGATTTCAATTTAAATTCTTCTAAAATTTAATTATTTCTAAAAATGTCAACTGTATCTGTTCCAAAGTTCAATTATTTTTAATAATTGTAATATTTCTTTAAAAATTCAATTATTTAAAAAAGTTTCAAATAAAAACTCTAAAATTGAATTGTTGATGTAAATTTTTTAAATTTACCTCTTCGATTCAGAAATATTCGAAATAAATTTTCTTGATAATATTTCCATTGAATTATTTTTATTAAAGAATAAATAAAATAGATTTAATATCTAATAACATTAAATATTTAAACTAAAATACTTATTTACTAATCAAATTTAATTAAAATAAAAAAATCAACTTTTTCGACTTTTTTTAGAATGTAAATCGACTTTCTTTGGGCTTTAAAGTTGATCCGCGGCCTACATATAAGTTTAAAATTAAACAACACTTTGATAAGAGTTTATAATATTTATATCAAAATGTATGGAAAAAATTAAAACAGTGAACGACACACGGAGAAAAAAGAATTGTTGTGGTTATTAAAAATTAAGTTCACACAACAATTCCGGTTTGTCAATATAGAACCAGCAGTTCTATTTGTTGTTGGAACAAAAAAATTGTTAAAATAGGATTGTTCGGAGAACAAATAGAATTGTTTGATGAACAAAAAAAATTGTTATGGAATAGTTAAAATAACCAAACTAAATTGTTAAATCGGCAATATAATTTGTTTTATTAAGAAAACTTTGATCCGTCTAATACAATTTGTTCAGTTTCTTCGCCTTCTAAAATAATTGATTGCAGATTTCCGTATAGGTCATATATATCACTAGTTTCATTTGCATTAAAATCTGTGGAACATGCAGCTTCTGAATCAAATTCTTTGACCTGAAACCAAAAAATTATTTTGAGTTGAAATTTGTTGTTAAATAATATTTAATATACATTTTGTATTTTTTCAGGTGAGGTTATGTTTAATAGTAACCGTGTATAACTTACCGATAAACGATGAAATTGTCTTTTCATCCATACACTTGCAATAGATTTCTCACTTTAACCGGGTAAATTATTTAACAGCACTTTGTCATTTAGAAAAAAAATTAATAATAAAAGCAAAAGTGGCACACGTGTCAGAAGCAAAATGACTCGACGATCTGCACGCCAGTTTGCAAGAATTCAAGATGACCACGTGACATGGAACAATAAACCTGTCTGCTGAATAAATCCGGATTGTTTCATTAGTAATCAACAGAGAGTTTGCTTCTGCAACTGTACGGATTGAAAACTGACAATAAAAAATTCGTATTGTTGTTAAAACAACATACATTTGTATTGAAAACAATCCGAATTACACTGAAAGACTTTTTGTTTCAAAAATTAATATAATTTGTTTCAAAATGAGGATAACTGTATTTTTGTACTATTTAGTCGTATGAAAGTACTAGTTTCTAACCAAATAATACCAAAAATTAGTATGGTTCATACTAATTTTTAGTTTTTTCTAGTCAGAAACTAGTACGTTCACACGACTAAATAGTACAAAAATACAGTTATTCTCATTTTGAAACAAATTATATCAATTTTTGAAACAAAAAGTCTTTCAGTGTATAATATTAACATTTCGAATTGTAATATCAACAAATCTACTGACAACAATCCAAAAATTGTGGTGGTGCAAATAATTTTTGCATTGTTGTCAGTAGGTATGTTGATATTACAATTCGGATTGTTTTCAATACAAATGTATGTTGTTTTAACAACAATACGAATTTTTTATTGTCAGTTTTGTTCAGTTTGCAATTACGTACAGTTGCAGAAACAAACTCTCTGTCGATTGCTGATGGAACAATCTGGATTTGTTCAGCTGACAGGTTTATTGTTCCATGTCACGTGGTCATCTTGAATTCTCGCAAACAGGCGTGCAGATCGTCGAGTCATTTTGCTTCTGGCACGTGTGCCACTTTTGCTTTTATTATTAATTTTTTTTCCAAATGACAAAGTGCTATTAAATAATGAACCCGGTTAAAGTGAGAAATCTATTGCAAGTGTTGTGAATAGATGAAGAGACAATTTCATCGTTTATCGGTAAGTTATACACGGTTACTATGAAACATAACCTCACCTGAAAAAATACAAAATGTATATTAAATATTATTTAACTAATTTCAACTCAAAATAATTTTTTGTTTTCAGATCAAAGAATTTGATTCAGAAGCTGCATGTTCCACAGATTTTAATGCAAATGAAACTAATGATATATGACCTACGGAAATCTGCAATCAATTATTTTAGAAGGCGAAGAAACTGAACAAATTTTATTAGACGGATCAAAGCTTTATTAATAAAACAAATTGTATTGCCGATTTAACAATTTAGTTTTGTTATTTCAACTGTTCCATAACAATTTTCTTTGTTCATCAAACAATTCTGTTTGTTCACCGAACAATCCGAATAGTTTTAATAACAATCCCATTTTAACAATTTTTTCTTGTCCCAAAAACAAATAGAACTGCTGGTTTTATATTGACAATCCGTAATTGTTGTGTGGACTTAATTTTTAGTAACCACAACAATTCTTTTTTCTCCGTGTATTTAAATTATTTAAGTAACATAGGATATTTATTAATATTATCACAAATTTTATTATTCAGATTTAGTGTAAAAAAAAGTTGCGTTTAAAATGCAAGTACCCACACAGCACAGTATATTGCTGTAAGCTTACCTGAAGCTTACATGTAATTTTTGTAAGCTAACCCTGTAAGCTTCAGGTAAGGTCGAGGTAATATAAAAATGTCCACCATACAGTAAGCTTACACAGTAAGGCCATAGTAAACTTACATGGCAAAGTCACTGTAAGGTTACAGAAGCTTACACGGCAAGTTTTCAAAGGTATCAATAAATAATTTTTTAAAAATATTTATGCGCAGTAGCTTTCTATGGCACTTACGAATGCGCAGTAAATTTTTTTAAGCAAACCCTACCGGGGTTTTTTATATAAATGACAAAATAAATATAATTGTGCAAAACAATTTATTGTTTACTGTAAGTTGATAAATTAATACTTTGTTATTTGTTAGCAATTAATATAAGCTTACCGTGTAAGCTTACAGTGCCCCTACCATGTAAGCTTACCATGACTTTACCATGTAAGTTTACCATGGCATTACTGTGTAAGCTTACTGTATGGCGGACATTTTTATATTACCTCGACCTTACCTAAAGCTTACAGGGTTAGCTTACAAAAATTACATGTAAGCTTGAGGTAAGCTTACAGAAATATATTGTGCTGTGTAGGTATTTAACAATTTCTTCGAATATTTATATAAAAAGTAAATAATAATTTCAATTTCATTTATTAACGGGACATGCCCTTTTGTACAAAAGTACTCCTAAATTCTAATAGTTACGTAAGTAACAATACAAAATA